TTTCGTGACATCGTCTGTTTTTTCCCGTTACGCTTCATATATGTAATATAAAATATGATATATGTACCTACAATGTATACAAAAAATATATGCAAAAAATATACCTAATTAAATTACATATTTTTCCATATTATTGGTTTTTTTCTGAATATTCCTAAAATTTCAACGAAATTATGCGCACGTATGAATACTAGAAATAAGTACGATTTTGAACGACACATTTTCATCCGAAGGCCGAGCTTAAGCGTTGCGCGACGGAATCAACGCAAACCGTTAGCCATTATTCTGCCAGCATTTTGTGTGAAAAGTGTACGTGAAATTCTTGCCACTATGAATAAAGAAATTTTTAATGAAAAACGAGTGTGTTTTTATTTGCCAATTGCCAGATTATGTATCGTGGCCCTGTGGGCGTATTTTAATTTTATAATTATTTTATTTTGTATAATATTAGTAATTCTCGTTGATAAGTAGTTTAACAATAAACTTTATTGATTTCGTCATCAGTGTCCTCGATAACGCATTTTTAAAAAAATAAAAGCATATTAGCATATTAGATCCGAAATTTTTAATCTTGAATTTATTTTCATCAATTTCACAAGTAATGACCTGAAAGACCTGTATGTACACATTTTTAGAACAATCTACGAATTTGGATATTTTTGTTGTCCGCCACATTGGGTCCGCCATTTTATTTTTACAAGTTTGACATCAAATTCGTAATCAGCAACCTCTAAAACCTGTAAATATAAGTTTGGAAACAATTCTGCCCAGCCATTCCAGAGCGTCGCTAAAAACAAAAAAAAAATTGTTTTTTTGGTATGACACCCTTTAGCGACACGCTATCGGTATGGCAGTGTAACCCCTGCTAAAGTGATGCAACACAGCATCTTAAAACCAAAATGCCATACCGGTACCTTTTATACATGTTCATTGCTAAAAATGACATGTTTGCCCCAATATGGCGGCCACTTGGCGACGCCCCAGAGGTATGGCGTTTTGAAATCTTTGTTCTACAGCTGATTGTTAACCAAGATCACGAAACAACAGCGTGGGGCCCATGATACATGTCCACAGTGAAAATATTACGCATTTCGGTAAGTATGGTGGACCTTAAGTGACGCCATATTGGTATGGCATATTGAGTTCGCGGACTTTGGCAACCTCCTTGATGAAATAAAACAAGAATTAAAGTGGGGGCCTATGATTCAGGGTCATGAATATTAATTACACGTTTGAAAATTCACCCCCCCTAAAAGCTACACTTTAGGAGTGCCATACTTGGAATTCAAAGTGGGGAATAACGTTGTCTATCAGCCCCCAAAGTCTCGTCGTGGAACCTGTGTTACATGCAAAAACCCTCTCGGCTCCCGGTTTATATAAAGGGGGATTCATTACCTATAGGTATTTGTTAAATAAAATTGGGGTTTTCTAATTATCACTATCTACCTACTTATTGTACAAATTAAAGGAAAACAGTACTAACTCGTTGTTATTATTTGGTCACACTAGCATATCAAATTTCTGCTTAAGAATCCATGCCACTCTCCGGCTTACGGTGGCACTAAAACAGACCATCTCTAGTTTTGAGCCAGCAGCATACTTCTTGTACATTTGAATTCAAATTTGACTTCAGGATGAATTTTAAAATGGTAATAAGTTAAAAGTTTAAAATAATGCCAACAAATGAAAAATTACATAAATTGTCAGTAAAATGGGCAAAAGATTGTAATTGTCAAATAATATAAAATATTATTGTTTTTACAATTAATAAATTTTTAGGATTATACCATCTACTATTTTTTATTAATAATTTTGGAAACTAATAATAAAAACCCGTTATATTTATTTTAAAAAATACGCCTTGTATATTGTTGGATTTTCTATGTTTCTAATTTTGTTCGTTTAAATATTAATATTCTGTCCTCATTAGTTTTAAGTGAAATTTCATGTTCCATCATTATGCCTTCATGTCACTTAAAACAGGAATATTCTAGAATCAATTTAAACAAACATGAACATGAACCAAATTGAAAATTGCCTCGTAATTTCCCCTTCAATTCGACTATAATACAACAAAACCACTAGTCTATTGTATTCGGAAGAACGAAATATTAGTATCATTCCACAAGTCAGCTTAAAATGTAATACGTCAAGCTCGTGATGAATGTCTGGTGTATCTGGACATTTTCCTTAATCCGATATAACGGAAAATTAATTGAGGAAATATCCTGGAGGATACTAAAGAAAAAACCTTTGAATTTGTGTCTGTTCCGATGAAAGAGGATTAGATCCATGAGCGCTCATATGGAAGCATTGGGGGCAATAATATTTTATTTTGGTTTTTTACTACCCACTTTTAACACATATGTCAGATCAATACCTGTTGGTAGAGACTTATTTTGGTTAACTAAACACTATAAATCCTGATGAACATTTTAAATATAATACTTTTGGGAAAAATTATGCTGCAGAAATTATTGAAACAAAAAAAATATTTTCAAAATACTTAGCTATTAAAATTTTAAAAGAGAATTTGGTGTACAGTTCAACAAAAAGTATGTAAATATAGTAGTTTGTGCAACAAAAGTGGATATGGACAAATCCACTCGAGTTGTACAGTATAGTTTTTTTAAGAAATTATACAAATTTTAAAAATAATTTTAGGGTAATAATACAAAATAACTAATTTTAAAATAATTTATGACTTTCAGTAATTTATAAAATAAAATAAACATAAAAAAGATTTAATTGAATTAGTCTTCAGGCCAGATTTGAACCAGAGCCTTTCGCATAGAAAACAAACGCCGTGCCCTCACCTCCATCGCCTCACTTACGTTTTTAGTTTTAATACTCCTAATTAAAATATTTTTATATAGTTGGATTTAAATTAGGATTTATTTGTAATGTAGACGAAATAGAAAAGCTATTATTTATCGATTCTACACAACAATTACTCATTTTTACGTATATTTAATTTTAATAATTAAAAAAATATACTAACAATTAATTTGACAGAATTGTCATTCATATAAAATTTAAAAAATAATATTAGCCGGGTGACCAAAATATGAACTGTGGTTCGTCAATTTCATTTGTTCTATACCCACATGGATCTAATCTACGCACAGACTACAAAAATCTGATGTGTTCAACACATGACATTCCTATCTAGTTATTGTAGGCTTTTTCCGGTTATTTTTTACAACCTATTGTAGCACCTCTATAATTGTTTAGGGGATAAACTAAATATATATATTTTCCACATACATCTGACTCGAAAATTTTTCTATAGATATTCATTGAAAACGAAAATACTGAAAAATTTTAATTTAGCACTTTTCCTTTTCCATTACGGTCCATTTTAGAAAAATCAGGTAAAAACAAAAATTATAGAGATCGATATCGCAAACAACTTTTAGACGGACGGACGGACAGACAGAATTTATCATAATTTCTTATTAAAATTAATTAAATAAAATTATTTATCGAATTTTAAAATAACACGTTAAAAATGGCAGTTTCTGGAGAATCAGCTATATATGCATCAAATTAAGGTTTTTTTTGTGTAGAATCGATAAATAATAGCATTTTTATTTGATCGACATTTTAAAAGAACATTTTAATTTGAATCAAAAACTATATAAATTTAATTTATTATTATTAAAACTAAAATCATAATACTGGCGGTGCAGGCAAAAAGCTCTGGTTCGAATCTGATCTGGGTACTAATTAAATTTAATCTTTTTTTTTTCATGTTTATTTTATTTTATAATTTAGTAAATTTCAAAAATTATTTTATGATTAGTTATTTTGTCTTAATAACCTAAAATATTTTTTTAAATTTGTAGATTTTTGTAGAAAAAAATATACAGTACAACTCGATTGCATTGTCTATATTGCACTTATACGTGCAATATGGCCATCATATCCACTCTTGTTGCACAAACTACTAATTTTGCAGTGATCTTACTAGGTAGAATGGATATGATATATATTCGTTCAGTTAAACGCAATGGCATACTTTTTCGTTCTGTAGTCTGTCCGCAGATAAGCTCATATCCATGTGGGTGTAGAAAAACTATTTTTAATAAAACATATTGAATTAAACAGAGAATTGATTGAAAATAAATATGATATGGCTAACTTATTTGCAGATTAAAAAAAAATTGTATTGTTTTAAAATTTCTTTTTCTTTAGCCTTGTGTTGCCAAAAAATTTGTTAGATATTATTCTCTAAAAAAAAATTGGACTAGAGCCGTCTGCCCCTCTACCAGTTGAGATATCGATGCACATAGCTTCGTCTTTGTAAAGTAGTTATAACTTTTTGGATTACAAATTAAAAATCGCTTTTTAAATGCAATTAAAAAAATTTGTTATGAAAATAGACATTTGATAATCACAAAACTTATTTTTTCTCAGTGTAAGGTCTGTCGGGGTTACTGGGCCATGGTTTTACAATGTTTTATGATTTCGGTGGATTAAAATCAAAAATTATAAGAAACGCGTCCGCTCAGTAATTCCGTATTTTTTCAGTGAAATCTAACATTGGTTCTTTTTCAAAAAATATGTACAAGATGAGATAATCTCTCTTAATTTTTTTATTTTTTATTTTTTTTTTAAATTGTGCTAGGGGTTCACTTGCCCCAAGTGAAAGGGGTAACTGACCCATGCACCTATTTCTATGTATGCTGTCGCTATATAATAAACTGGGGTATCTCGGCCATTTTAGGGTCCAATAAAGATTGCATAAAAAATATTTAGCATTAACTAGAATAATGTTTTCTGTTATTAACTGGCAATGTTATGAAGGTAGGTGTTGCTTGGGCGAGGAATAAAAGAACATCTGTTGAAAAAATAAGACCATTTATTAAGGAAATAACATATACATACATTGATACAAAAGTAACATTTACGCCAACGGAAAAAAAAAACAAAAAATGTTTCAAAAGTAGGGTAAAAAACAAAGAAAGTATTTTTATTTAATATTTAACTAAAAAAACTCAACATAAGATGGTGAGATCTGAAAGATCAGTGCTAAAGCCAATCATATCTTTATAACGAGCTGAACTACTTTTAATCGGCTTGGACAATTTACGTATAATATCTCTTTTTGCAATTAACGATTCTTCATCTGTTTCTATGAATTTCCATATTTGTGGGTGTCGTTTGAAAAATCTTCCAACAAATTCGTCTTTTTGTTTAGCCACATAAAGCCTGAAAACTGCAGCCGTTTTTCCATAAACCTTAACTATACAGAAGTCACATATATTAAAGCAGTTATCATTGATAGGCTCTTTATCTTCTGAAGACCAAAATTTCGAGTCATTGTCGCTTTCTTGAATTAAAAAATTATCGCTTGTATCACTAGCTTCATCGTCAATAATTTTTTCCGGTTTTTTATTTTGCTTTTTTATTTTTTTAGAAGCGGCATCTTTTTTTCTTTGTATAGCATCTTTTTTCTCCTTGTCTTCCTGCTCTCGTTTTTTTAGATATTCATTAGAAGTAATTATTTCGCAGTTACTAACTATTCTTCGTCTCTTGACCTGGGGTTTTGACTTCGATTCTTTTTTTAAGACTTCTAATAGGACATCTTCAAATGTCTTGCGCGTTTTATTTTGCTGGGATGCATTTTTAGATGTACTTGCCACTGTTGTTTGGTCCATTACAAAATTTGATGCTGTACCCCAATTGCCCCAACGATCTTTGTTTTAGAGGGATCGTGGCAAAACGATGTTTCATCACAATTAAATATTTGTGAAAGTTTTCCATTTAATTTTAGCTCCTTCACTTGATCTGTTAGTTGCTTAAAATAATCATATATCACCCAGGGATTAACTTGAACACAAGGATTAAAATAGATTTATCAGTCTTTGGCAGTATTAAATATATAACAAACCTGATCACATCTGACGTGCTCTATAATTTGAGGTTTCTTGATGGACAGTGCATGACGACGTCGGAAAGACGTAAACCAGTCAGGACCGGGACGACTGTCCTTAAATCTCGTTGATATATTGTTTTGCTTTATACAAAGTTCAACCATATCAATAACTTCCTCGCGACAGAGCACGAACCCATTTTTTTCTAATACTTTCAATTTGCTATCTCTTCTTCTTTGTCTTTTGAAAGATATGAAGATACTCCTCCTCCTCCTTTGTCACCCGTAGAAGTATTACCTTTACCCCGAGTCCCTAATATATAATGTTTTAATGTTGATCGTGGTATATTATAAAGAGTAGCTGCTCCACGAGTCGTTTTGTTGCCATTCCGAACATCAGATAAAGCTTTTTCTCTGGTATATGTAGTACCGGCACCCTTCTGCGTCTTTCTCACCATGTCTGCGAAACATTAAACAAGTTCAATTTAGAACATGCAAGCGGGGTGACTGGACCATAGTGGCCCAAATACCCCAAGCGTAAGACCCAGATACCCCGTTTGCAAACTTTTTATGGGGTAAGTGGACCACCCCTTCCACATTTTTTAATTATTTACGAACGTAATTTCTTGAAATAAAGTAAAAATATTACCTTAAAAATAATAAATATTTTTCATTGCTTACCTATAGGTAGATATCCTTGAAAATAATACTAGTTTTAGCACGATGTTACTAGATTTTTATTAGCAAAATTTGTTGCCACCATGAAATTCCAAATTTAACTGATTTTTAGGTTAAGCGTGTTGTTCTATGTTGGTAGTGCTCTACTTAACCCTAGCCAACTGTGTAAAATAAAAGAATTTGAACGATGTGGCACAGTTGTACAGTAGATTTTTTATGCGCCCCACTAACGAAAATGTACAAATATTAAAAATTATTTTAAGTTATTAAAATAAAATAAATAATTTAAAAATAATTTTTGACTTTTACTAAGTTTTATAATAAAATAAACAAAAAAAAATCACTATCTAGAATGAATATGAGATATATTCGTTCAGTTGAAAGCAATAGCATACTTTTTCGTTTTGTAATCTGTTCATAGATAAGCTACTTATCCTCTTTCCTAATAAATAACCTTTTCCTGAACTAAAGCATAATGTTCCTAAAGATACGGAGAATTATTTAACTCTAAACTCTAAAACCATGTCTGATATCCGCTCAACGCCTGTTTTATAGCCGTGTTAATACCTCCAAGCAGGATTTAACTTTTGGCATTGTTTATTTTATAACTTAATCTCCATTTATCTGCAGGGACAAACATTAAACTTCATTTAGGTATTTGTAGAGTTTAAAATGAAAAATTTAATTCCGCTAAGATGTTGAATAATACAGCGCCATATCTTCAGGATAGTCTCCAAGGGGGCAGCCGGAAAAGCGGATAGTTAAAAGACAAAAACATTACAAATCAGAGTTAATAAAATATTAATTAGCCATGAACAATTTATTCAATAACAAAAATATTCTGTAATTGAAGGAGCTTCCCAAATTTCTGAAAACACAAACATTCATCAAACAACAATCAATAAATCACAATAATTGAACTTTCTTCAATTTACTGAGCACTTTAGGCGCATCCAGAGCAATAAAAAGTTTGACGATTTCTTTACTATTCGGGCCACTTATCCAAAACGGGTTATCACAAATTTCAGCAGATATCAATAATAGATATTTGATTATTATAGCAATGACACACGCAGCGGTTTTTGCCGAGTCGGCTGTTGAGTCGGCCATTTAGCACAAGGAAACACACACAGCGGTTTTTTAGTCGGTAGCGTAACAAAACAGCTGCACCATAGATTTAAAATATCGGCGTGTAATACATTTATCACTACTTTATCTTTGATGGAAAAAAAGGAAAAAAGAAATCGAAAGATGTGGGTACATCCTATTGTGGAAGCCCGACAAGAGAATTGTATATTTTATACCTTATTCGAAGAAGTACGTAGAGACGTGGAAAAGTTTTTTAATTTTACTTGACTGTCAATGGCATCTTTTGATGAATTGCTTTGTGTTATACAAGGAAAGATAACCAGGGCTGGTACTTTGTGTCATGTAGAATTCTACTTATCGTTTTCTACAATAGATTCTATTGTAGCACCCTGTGTAACATAGCGGAAAACCAACGAGTACATACTTACTACAGGATAACTAGTTTCATAAGAAACCACATTGCGATATTTCCCGTGCGGTTGATAACGTATTCATCACAAAAGAAAGTAATCATTTCTATTGTAGAAAGCGATAAGTAGAATTCTACATGACACAGAGTTCCAGCCCAGGACCTACACTCGCATACTACCAGAAGAAAAACTGGTCATTACACTTGGGTAAGTGGAAAATAAATATTTACGTAAATTTAAACATTTCATTTATTGCACAAACATGATATATATCAATATCAAAATGTTTAAACTAATAGGGAGAAAACTGAGAATCTTCTTCTGATGTGCTGAAAGTATAAACGAATGAAGTAACAGTTTCTGCTGGCAAGGTTGCTGGTAGACGAGTATATCTCTGTTCCTCCTACGATTCCATATTTGTTGTTTGCTGTGAAGAATGTTATATTATGATATTTTGTGAATTTTGCATTTGGTAGTACTGTTGTGGAACGAATGACTGCTGTACAGGGAAGAATTGCTGGTGTTGATTTAAGAAAAGGTTATTTGGTTGTTGCTTGGACTTATTAATACTTTCGTATTTGCTAATGCATTGCCTTAGCTATATTCTACATTTTGTATTTAAATGTCGTGGTAACGAGTCCAGACTTGGCACCAAAGACAACAAAAATATTCAGTTTTCGTTTTCATTGGTGTTTGCAGTACTTACTCTTTTTTCACACCTGTGATGTAATAGTAGTTGATGTGACCGATGTGAAAGGGGTTGGTATGATCTATGTCGAAAATCCCGGCTAAGATTGTGCTTCTTCTGAATGAAATTGTTCCTCAATATTTTCGTTTTTCAAAGAGCTTATTCTTTTCTCTGGTGTCAATGTTTCATTTAAAAACTTTAATTGCTGAACATAGTTACACATATGGAGTTTTCTTGCGAACCCCTTGTCACGGCTTTTCTTTCTGTTTTTGTAATTTTCTTGCTTATTGATCTCTAATATTCTTCCATATTTTATGTAATAATTCCCCTGTAACAACAAACCGTTATTCAAATAAATTTATTTAAATTAATTTGTTGGAATAAAATGAACATGGTTGTTACAAAATGATTATTATAGAAATGATGATTCTTATATCTAACTCAACTGAATTTTTCGGGTAACTCAAGAAAGGCATTCTCGGAAACCAATGGACTTTCAACCTCCGAGTAAAAAAAATAAAAAAAAAATGGTCATTGTAGGCACTTGAAAATAATTTCTACCAATTTCTCATAAGTTAATCGGTTTCCGAGATACAGCTGGCTGGTGTTCTTAGTTCTTCAGCAGGTATATTATAGTTTGAGGTATAAGCTACAATATTTCTTCCGGGAATCTAGGCACTGAATGTTCCCTAACAGACACACATTACACATTTCTGGTAAGCAAATCTACTGCCAACTGCCAGTGCTATTATTAAAGACGTTTGTAAAGCAATATGCTTTTGCCTGGCTGAAGCAGCCATACCTCAACCTACTACGGAAAGATGGTAACAAATAGCAAAGGAATTTGAAAAATATGCCAAAATTTGGAATTGGGATAAGAAGCACTAAGAACTGAATAACCTGCCAATAGCGGGTCCATGTATTATAATTATAAGAATTACTTCTCCACTGTACTTTTCGCTATGTGCGATTCAAATTGCGGCTGTACTTATATAGACATTCACTACTACGGACAATCCAGTGATGCTGAGATATTTAAAAATTCCTTTAACAAAATGTGTGATGGTCCTTTAGGAGTTCCACTGCCATGGTCTATTGAAAACTTGCTTAGATCCTATGGCAGCAAATACTTAACTGACAATAAGAAAGCATTCAATTATAGATCTTTACTCGCGCAAAGATATATTGAATGTACATTTGGAATTTTCACAAACAAATGGCGTATATTTCACCGACCCACATATGTTGACATAGACTTCGTGGAGAGTATTGTCAAAACTGCATGCGTTTTGCCTAATTTTGTTAGAACAAGGGATGGAAAGCGGGAAGAGGCATTCTTTGATGACACTATACCACAAAGTAACGTGCAAAATTTAACGCCTGATGCAAGGGATCGAAATTTGCTTGCTATTTTGGGGCGATACATAAAGAATGATAAATTATCTACGATTATTTATTACATAAAAATAACTTTGAATTAATTAACTGTCTTCTCTCGGCTATTAACATATTCTCATTCACAAATGTATTGGTGGTTTCCTCCCTTAATTCTGTTCGAGCTTTTATTTATTGTATTAGTTGTTTCAGATCAATATTAGCATCCATTGTTTTAATTTAAAATACCAAAAAGTATTGTCATAATATTCCTAATCCGACCCTGTGCCTGTGTACGCACGCGGCCTTCACATTGCAACCAACTCGTGATCGAAGCAACGCTTACGTGTGGAAACAGCCGGACCGTGTCTCGAATGTACAAGAATACGAGGGAATGTCTGCCGCTGATGTACTGGATGCGACTGTAACGGCGGGGAGTGCCGTTTAGTCATAGGGGTAGAATCTTCGCGAGCCGCTAGCATTTTCCAGTAGCGGAGTTGGACTAATATAATTAGCCGACGTATCAGCGCCGAGTTTAGTTTAATATACAACATTGTATTGAAAAGTTAAAGTGTAAGAAATAAATTAGAAATGTTAGTTAGTGTCTAAATATTTTATAAATTAAATAGTACGTCTGAAATAAATTGTAAATAGTGTGTTTTTAAATAAATAAACTTTAAATAAATTAGACTTTCGTCACGGTTTATTAAAAACTTTTTATCACATTCAAAACCGCCGTGTCTGACTAGTCGCATATAATATTGTTAAAATCACATTTAACATTTTGAGTTTTTCAAATTTAATTTTTTTCGCACCTTTGCATCGGACTGAGTGGTGTTTGGGCTTCGACTTGAAAGTTTTCTAAGCAACGGCGCGCGCAACCCTCTTCTCCTCTTACCAAGCACTTGCACAGATCACTTACTTTTAAAATGGAAACGTCAATGTTGAAAAGAGCATTTATCAATCAAATTCGATTTGACAAAGGAATATTAAGTTTCGAGGACAAAGCTGTGATAATGCAGTCAATATAAAACGCATGCATAAAGAAGTCTAGCAGCAAATTAAAAGTATAAATTCCTGAACTTTTATATGCATTGCACTGCACATTTTTGGAACTTGTTGGTGAATGATGCTGCTCGATCAACATTTGGAACAGAATTTTTTTTTGTTTTATTCCAAAACTAACTATTATGTGCTTTTCTCATCTTCCACCAAGTAT